ACGCAGGAGGGCCTGGTGCAAAAGCTCCAGAAAGAACAGCTGGAATGGCAGGAGGAGCGGAGGGGCCTGACCTCCCAGCTGGAGGAACAGGAGGTAAGGGCTGGGCTCTCCTCAAAGGCTGGACCCCCTTTCCTGGCAGAGGCCATGCCACAGTCCCTAGCAGGGCCCCCTGAAGTGTCTGGGCTCAGGACCTCGCTGTTTGTGTCTGGCAGGGAACCGCTGCCCTTCTCCTGTCTCTGCCCAGCCTACTCCTGACTGCGTCTTGCTTTCTTTCCCACTTCTCTCTGTCCTGGATCCTGTTTTCATAGCTCCTGCCTAGATCTGTGTCTTCTAGCTAGCCCCCCTCTTTTCAGGTCCCCTTGCTGATCACAAAGCCCCTTGTACGCTCATCCCTCTTCCTGTGCCCGCTCTCCTCCCCCTAGCTGAGCACCACCTGAATCGGACCACTGGTAGCCAAAAATGATCCAGGTGCCCTCAGGCAGCTTTCGGACAGGCTTTTCTTTCTGGAATGCTGTTTCTGTATCCCATCCTTCCTTTGGTCTACACTGTGCTTTGGGCTGTTGGCCTCGGCAGCACCTCCTGTGGCCCTCCTGGATGTTCCTAGCATTCCCGTCTGACTTCCAGGATCTCCTACTTTCTGTCCCTTCACCCGACTGTGAGGCCTGTGGGGGCAGAGACCCCACCTGCACCCACCTGGCCCCATGACTTGTTCTTGGCTGCATCTCACCTTTTGTGCCTGTTCTGTTCCGGGCAGAGGAGGCTCCAGGCATCAGAAGCAGCTCTGTCAAGCAGCCGAGCAGAGGTGACGTCCTTGCAGCAGGAGGTTGCAGCCCAGGCCACCTTACTGGAGGAGCGGGAAGAACGTCTCCACGGGCTGGAGATGGAACGCCGTCGGCTCCACAACCAGCTGCAGGAACTGAAGGGCAACATCCGCGTATTCTGCCGGGTCCGCCCCGTCCTTCCAGGGGAGCCCACCCCAACCCCTGGCTTCCTTCTGTTTCCCCCTGGCCCTGGTGGGTCTGCCGATCTTCCAACCCACCTTAGCCTCTTCCGGTCTGATGAACGGCGTGCAACCCTGAGCGGGGCACCAGCCCCTACCAACCGCCACGACTTCTCCTTTGACCGAGTGTTCCCGCCAGGAAGTGGGCAGGACGAAGTGTTTGAAGAGATCGCCATGCTTGTCCAGTCAGCCCTGGATGGCTACCCAGTGTGCATCTTTGCCTACGGCCAGACGGGCAGTGGCAAGACCTATACAATGGAGGGTGGGCCTGGAGGAGACCCCCAGTTGGAGGGGATGATTCCCCGGGCCCTACGGCACCTCTTCTCCGTAGCCCAGGAACTAGGCTGCCAGGGCTGGACCTACAGCTTTGTGGCAAGCTATGTAGAGATCTACAATGAGACTGTCCGAGACCTGCTGGCCACTGGGGCCCGGAAGGGCCAAGGAGGCGAGTGTGAGATTCGCCGCGCAGGGCCAGGGAGCGAGGAGCTTACTGTCACCAATGCCAGATATGTCCCTGTCTCCTGTGAGAAAGAGGTGAGGACCCATGGGCACTGGAGCTGGGGAATGGAAAGCAGTGGACAGGGTGCCACAGAGGGAGGTGGGTGGAGAAAGAGCAGGAGAAAACTGAAGGACGGAGGGCAGGTTGGAAGGCAAGGCCACCACATTCCATGAGGCTGGTTACTGCAGCCTTAACCAGGGAGGAGGAGGAGTGACGTAGCTGCTGAAGGGGCAGGGTCACCAGCCTCTGCCAGCCGCACCCCAGGTCTCATTTCCTGCTTGAGCCTTGCTCAGTTCACCCTAGCCACGTCAGCCTGCTGGCTGTTCTCAGCCCACTAACCACAGTCCCATCTGGGCCTTGGCCTGAACGCTCTTCTGGAGAGCGCAAGGCAGTGAGGCCGTCCTCTAGCTGTCTTCTAAACTTGCACCTCCCACTCACCTTCACGTACTCCTTATTCTTGGACCATTGTCCTCCCTCCATTCTCAGACACACTGCGTCTGACTTATTTTGTCTCCTCAGTAGAAGGGAGGCAGGGGCTGTACGTGGCATCGCCGTGCCCTCATCTGCTCTCTGCCTTTGCCCCTTGCCGCTGTCCATCTCCAGGTGGAGGCCCTGCTTCAGCTGGCCCGTCAGAATCGGGCTGTGGCCCGCACGGCTCAGAACGAGCGGTCGTCGCGCAGCCACAGTGTGTTCCAGCTGCAGATCTCTGGGGAGCATGCTAGCAGAGGCCTGCAGTGTGGGGCTCCCCTCAGCCTCGTAGACCTGGCCGGGAGTGAGCGGCTAGACCCCGGCTTAGGTCTCGGACCCGGGGAGAAGGAACGCCTTCGCGAAACACAGGCCATCAACAGCAGCCTGTCCACACTGGGGCTGGTCATCATGGCCCTGAGCAACAAGGTGGGAATGGGCGCAGGGGTAGTGGACCCAGGGCTGGGTGGGGTCGGCCTTGCAGAACCCGTTCTTTCCTGACCCCCGTCTTCCCTCCACCCTCTAGGAGTCCCATGTGCCTTACCGGAACAGCAAGCTCACCTACCTGCTGCAGAACTCTCTGGGTGGCAGCGCCAAGATGTGAGGGAACAGGACAGATGGCTGGGGTTGGGTAGGGGCTGGGATGTTGGGGTGAGGCCCTGAAAGGCCACTAACGCTGGAATTGGGGCTCTTCTCTCCACAGGCTCATGTTTGTGAACATTTCCCCCCTGGAGGAGAACGCCTCTGAGACTCTCAACTCTCTCCGGTTTGCCTCCAAGGTGTGATTACCACCACGCTCGGGCCCTGTCCAGGCCCCTGGGTAGTTGTAGGCTCCTCTGTCCCCATCCCTTCTGTCCTCTCGAACGTTTATCCAGAAAGGATTTATATTCACCAGGCGCCTGAGACACTACACACCTGCTTCCATTTTTTAACTATTGACTTTTGAAGTAAGTTTTTTTTTTTTAAGAATTATTTTCTTATTTAACTTTATTTATTTTACATTGACCAGAAAGGGACAGAGTGAGAGAGGGGGCAGTGGTGAGAAAGCAAGCCGCCAGGTCCAGGACTCGAACTGCAGTCAGCCAGCCATGTGGGAGTCCAGCACCCTTAACCACCACACCACCTGCTGGCCCTGAAGTAAGTTTAAAAACAAAACAAAACAAAACAACAGGTGACTAGGGACTAGGGGCAGGTTGGCGGCATGGAGGTTAAAGGTGGTTGGAAGCCACATGGCCTACTACAAGGTTCAGGTCCCAGACCTGGTGGCTTGAAAATCACGCCCAAACTCTCAGAGAATGGAGAAGGATTGTGGCATGGCCATCCGCCTGGGGTGGGGGTGCTTTCTCACTTGCTCTCCCGTCTCTTCTGGTTGAGTGCTTGTGTCCTATAGCACAACTTTTAAAAATGTCTGTAGAGAGGTGACTGAAAGGCCACAGCTAGAGCGAGAGCTACTGTCTACTGTACACAACGCAGGGAAGTCAGCTGCCTTCCCACCCTCTCCACCCCCATCCCTGTCCGTAGAGGCTTTTATCATTTCTCATTGTATTTGTCCTTCCAAGGTTTCTTTTCGCAGGTCTAAGTTATGTGCATGTTTCCTACTCCCCTCTTGGTTTAAAAGGCATTTCTCTTCCTCTCATATATATGTAGTTCTGCACTTACTTGGCTTAACGAAACAACCCCAAGATTCTCCTCCATCAGCACACAGAGGTCCTCCCGTAGGACGCCTGCCTAGGACCCCACCGTGTAGGTCATCAAAACTTACCCACCAGTTCCCTCTGCTGGACACTTGGATTATTTCCATGCTTTTTCTGTTAGAAACAAGGCCATGTTGACTATCTTCTACCTAAGTCATTTGTACTTTTAAGTTACATCTAACAATCTAGGGAAATATTCCTTGAAATAGAGTTGCTGGATCAAAGGAGACTTACTGGGTTTTTCAGACTACTTCAAATAGCATATATTCAGGCTCCAGCCACCCCCACAACCACCACCGTGAGGGTCAGTGAGCGGCCATGAATTCTTGAGATTTATGCTCCCCCCACTAGAGTTAAGGACGTCAGAAAGTTCTACTTTCTGCCTCTTGGGATGAGCCTTTCTCCGGTTCTCCCTTTTCTTGACAGCATAGCCCTCCAATGGGTTCCGGCTTTATTCAGGGTCTCATGAGCTCTGTCCTGCTGTCCTTGTGCTTCCTCCTAATTAGCATGGGTTACTGCCACGGCGTTTCCCTGGTCGTCTGCTTTGATCAGGACTTCCTTTGCTATCTTGCAAAGTCTATTAAAACTGTAGGGATTTTTCCAACTTACTATTATATAAACATTCCATGTGCCCAATAATATGAACTCTTTTCTTAAGAATTACTTACTTTATTCATCATCGTCATTAATTTGCTACAGCGCACACACATGCACCAGAGAGAGAGGGAAAGTGAGAGAGCAAGCCTCCAAGTCTCGAACCAGGATCAGTCTTATGGGAGTCTAGCGTCTTAACCACCACAGCACCTGCTGGGCCCTCAACCGTTTTCTTTTTTTTTTTTTTCTTAATTATGAGAGGGCACGTGTGCAATCCCTTCTCCATTTCGCCATCCTGTCAGGATTTTAGGCACATATGCATATGTACCCAACATGATTTTCAAGCTGCCAGGGCTGAGATTCGAATCTTGGTCGACTGTGCGGGCCGTCTCTCTCAACCACTAGTCTAGGGGCCAGCCCTAATACCCAGTTTACACTTCAGAAATATCTTTTATACATTAGGTTTATGCAGATCAGGACCCAAGCAGAGGCTACCATTTCATTTCATTGAAATCTCTTAAATTACTTTTAATCTATAACACTCCCCCACAAACACACACTTTCATGATGTTTATTGAATAGGGTCATTTGTCCTATAGAATATACCATATTCTGAATTTTGGCTGGTGCTTCCTCTTCTTTCCATACCTTTTACTACCTGGTAGTTAGATTGAAAGGTTTCATTAGATTTGAATCGGAATCAATTTTTTTTTAATGTATAATTACTTTTTAAAAGAATTATTTAATTTTATTCATTGTCATTATTTTATTATTATTTTTTAAGTTGACAAGAGAGAGTGAGGGAAAGTGAGGAAACAGGCTGCCAGGTCCAGGAACATGAACTGTGGTCAACAGTGTGTCTGGGAGTCCAGCTGCCTTAACCATCACGTCACCTGCTGGCCCCTATATAATTATTTATTTAACTTAATTTTATTATTACTTTTTAACTTGACCAGAGAGACGGGACAGTGGGGAGTGCGACAGCAAATCACCAGGTCCAGCACTCCAACCATGGCTGACCATGTGGGAGTCTAGCATCCCAACCATCATGCCATCTGCTGGCCTTCAGAATTAAATTTAGCAAGAAAAATTGATAGTGCAGTACATACCCTATTGTGTCATACCGGGATGCATCTAATATCTAGTGTTTTTTTTGAATTTTGCCAGATGGGCCAGCTAGGGAGTGTGATAGTTAAGGCAGCTGGGTCTCACATGGATGAGCCACTGTGCAGTTTGAATCCTGGATCTAGCTCTTGAAAAACATGCCAGGCCCATGTGCATGCATTCCCAAAATCCTGAGAGGAGAGTGGAAGAGTAGGGATTGTGGCTTGATCATCCCCCCCAGGGAGTGCTTTTTAACTTATTTTTTAGGACTTTTGCTATATATAGGGTGTGTGCTCTCACCAGAGACACAGAGGGAGAGAGAAAGAAAGTGAGAAATCACACCCCAGTGAGGATGTCCATGCTGCAATCCCTTCTCTTCCATTGTCCTCTCAGGATTTTAGGCATGCATGCACAGTGCTGATATGAGTTTCAAGCTGCCAGGTCTGAGACTCAAACCACAGTCGACCATGTGGGAGTCCAGTACCTTTACTATGCCATCTCCTGGCTCCCCACTCCCTGCAAGAAATTTATTTTAAAAATTAATTTTAGGCTGGCGGGTGGCGTGGTGGTTAGGAGCGCTGGACTTCCACGTGGCCAACCACGGTTTGAGTCCTGGACCTGGCAGCTTGCTTTCTCACTTTCCTTCTCTTTCTCTATCCCTCCCTGGTCAAATTGAAATAAATTAAGTTAAATAAAATAATTCTTTAAAAAGAAATAACAAAATATTGCCAGAGGGTGCATGCACTTGCCAGATTCAGAGGGAGAGGGAGGAAGCACTCTCCTTCCTGCCCCCAGGAATGGTCAGGCTGCTGTTCTTACCCACCCTTTTCTCCATCTTTTTGGGATTTGGGGTGGGCACATACAAGTGCCTGGAGTGCCCATATCCAGGATTCAGACTGTGCAGTTGGCCATGTGGGATCCTGCTGCCTTAACCAGGAGCAGGGTGGACCATGGAGAACAACTATGGGCCACAGAGCCAGCCCATAGCTATTCTACTTTTAATGACATAAGTACTCCTTATATTTGGATGTTGTTGCCTCATCTTTCCATTTAGAAGCACCCCGTTTGGGACCAGCAGATGGAATAATGGTTGTATCACTGGACTCCCACATAGGGGAGTACCACTGTTCGAGAACCAGACCCAGTGGCTTAAAACGCACTCTGGGCGTGTGTGCCCAAAATCTCAAGAAGAGAATGGAGAAGGGATTGCAGTATGGTCATCCCCAGAGGGGTGACTTCTCATTTTCTGTCTCTCTGAGCTCATGCACCCAAAGGCAAAACACCTCTTAAAAAATAAAATGAAGGGGTCCCCACCAAAGCCAGATCTGACATAGCCAACTGTGGCTTAAATCTTGGCCTCTGCTGCTCGTAAAAGGTGCAGTGCACGGGGCAGGCAGGTGCCATGCTGGTTAAGGTGCTGGGCGCCCCACAGCTGACCGCCGCGGTGTGACTCCCAGACCTAGTAACTTGCTTTCCGCACTTTCCCTCTGTATCTGGACAGCACACCCTGTAACAAATCTTTAAAAAGTAACAATAAATTCTTTAAAAAAAAAAAAAAGGAAACATTTCCTGTAAGTTATTGAATGGTATGTGCCCTCCTACCAATTGAAAAAAATACCATTGACTTTTGGGAACCAGCAGTTAGTGTAATGGCTTTGTCGCTGGATGCCCATGTAGTTGACCACAGTTCGTGTCCCGGACCCGGTGGCTTAAAACTCACGCTGGGTGCGTGTGTGTGTGTGCCCAAGATCCCAAGAGGAGAAAGGAGGAGAAGGGATTGCCGCGTGACCATCCCCCCGGGGGGGTGATTTCTCGCTTTCTGTATATGTCTCTCTCTGTCTGTCTGGTGAGCGCATGCGCCCTATAGCGAAAACCTAAAAAAAAAAAAAAAAAAAAAAACCATTGACTTTAAAAAAAAATCTTTTAAAGATGTTTGCTATAGGGCACCTGGTTTGCCAGAGAGAAAAACATTGAGAGGGAAAGTGAGAAATCACCCTACCCACACAGCTTGGATGGCCAGGCTGCAGTCCCTTCTCCATTCTCCTCCTGGGATTTTTGACACGCATTTGCACACACCCAGTGTGACTGTCAAGCAGCTGCCAGGTCCAAGACTTGAAGCACACCCACCATGTGGGAGTCCAGGGCCTTAAAACACTATGCTACCTGCTGGGCCCCTCCACTGTTTTTTTTTTTTTTTTTTTGACTAGAGAGTGATAGAGCGAGAGAGGGAAAGAAAGTGAGAAAGAAAGCCACCAGGTCTGGGACTCCAACCTTGGCCAAGTGGGAGTCGAGCACCCTTATCTACCATGCCACCTGCCGGCGCCCTCTATTGACTTTTTTAATCTAGTGGTTTTTGTCAAACAAACAATCATACATAGACCCATTATTTCATTAGAAGGTGATTATCTACCTGGTTCTGCATTTATTAGTCAGAACCTTGGCCAAGTGGGAGTCGAGCACCCTTATCTACCATGCCACCTGCCGGCGCCCTCTATTGACTTTTTTAATCTAGTGGTTTTTGTCAAACAATTTTACATAGACCCATTATTTCATTAGAAGGTGATTATCTACCTGGTTCTGCATTTATTAGTCAGGGTTCTTCTATGAAGAACTTTCCCTGTCCATTTACTCTGCGATAGACCAATACTGGATTCTTTAAGTACTATGAGTTGAAGCATTCAAAGGTGACTAGTGAGTTTTATTCAAGGTATTACTTTATAGAAGCTTTATGCATTTGGTGTCTGTCAGTCCTTCGCAGCTGTTATTCTGATGCTTAAATTATCCCATCTTTGGCAGGAGCTTCTTCAAGTTGATTGCATGTCCTTTACACGGGCCCCAGGTGTTTTCAGATTCGTTTTGTACATTTTCTCCTCAGACTTAGAGTGGTCCATTGGCTAAGGAGCCCTCGTTTCTAAGTGGGTATTTTGTCTAGGCTAAGTGCTTTTATAGTGGGAGTTGCGGGATTGGAGTCCCTAGTCCAGTGGATTACTGGAAATGCAAGTCTTCTCTCTTCGTTTCTGTATCTTCCAGCCAGGCTTCCACCTCCTCTCAGCCTTTTCACCTGCAGGCCTCAGTGCAGAGGTGAACCTTAACAGGAACCTGCCCCCTGCGGGGCTGCCCTTATTTCAGCATTCCCTGAGGGCAGCCCTGCAGGGGGGTGAGAGATCTGGGGAGTATTCTTTTGGTTACTCTGCAAACTTACTGTGTCTAACGCCCTTCTTCAGGTGAACCAGTGTGTCATCGGTACTGCCCAGGCCAATCGGAAGTGAAGCCGGATCCAGATCCTGTGTGTGGGGCGGGGAGGGGGTAGAGGGAGGTGCTGGAGGATACCTTATTGGGGGGAGCTATGTACCAGGGCCTATCAAATAAAGAACAGTTGCTTTTTCTTTTTTAAATAAAGGTATTAGTGGTTACTCAAGGAGGAAGAGATTCTTCGTTTCCATATAAAGATGGGCGCTGTGGATGCGTCCACTCTGCCATGGGTCTGTGTTTTGGGGGACGAGTGCGGGCTATTCTTAAGCTCTTCCGGTTCTGTACCCTGGTCTGTCGTCATTCCCTGTAGACCCCACCCTGCCACCATTCAGTTGTGCGCTCTCAGCGGTCACCAAGTTTCAGTCTTCTGCAGGCCGCCTGGGCAGGTGCAGGACCGCTCTCTTGGGAGTGGAAAGGGGGACGTTGCCCGGGGCGGGGCCGAGCGCACTCCCGCCCTCCCCCTGCCTCGGCGTTCGAACGGCCGGGGCTC